TCCCGCGAGGGATTGCGATCCGGCATGGAGGAGATGGATGGAGAATGTCGCTACCACTTCGGTATGCACGAACGGCAAATACGACGCTAACCTCGCCGCCACGGTCAAGGGCCTCCTCGAGACGACCTCTGCACAGTCGCTTATTCATACATGGGTGCAGGACCAACCGCACTACCTGCAATTGCTTACACCCCTGTTAACCATAAGCGAACCGTACTTGAAAGTTTTGCAGGCCCCACGTGTACCAGACCGCGACCTCCTTATCTATGTGACTGTCGCTGATTCAGGACTGTCCATGGTTTCGGGCAAGAAGCGCAAGCTTCGCAAGTACGACTTTGCGGAGCGTTTGGATGCCTCTCGCCCGGCGCGTGTCGGTGCATGGAGGTCTGAAATGCTTTGGGGCAAGGGCTTACAACAGCTGTGCAAGCGGTTGGCCGCCCTCATCGACGAGGTGCGTACCGACTACCCAGCAGCCACCATCATTCCGAGGATTTACTGGAATGGCAACGAGCTCGTTGGGAAGGACGGCCTCGAGCCCACTGGTACATATCCTTACGACACCCCCATCGGAGACGCCGAGCAACTTCTCGCTGACACCAGACGGCACCTGGCTTGGACCAGGGATTTCGCGGCCCGCAAGGGCTGCGCATGCCTTGGAGTCATGACCGGCGCGAAGAGCTACCTCTACGGCTTCTCTATGATTTGGGACCGTTTCATGACGGAAGTCCGGGATTACATCATCGGCGACCCCAACAATATGTTTGTATATGTTGATGCTACACCCTTCGTCGAGACCATCGATTTGCTGGACAGGTATCATATGTGCTTCAGTGACGACAATATCACGAAGACCGTCCAGTTTATGCGCGGAACCCATCACATGTTGTACATGCTTTCCATCTTGCGCCCCGCAATGGGCAGCGTAGCCGAGCTGATACGCTCGCATGATTGCACCATGCGTCCGATCGATGTGCTCGAGGTGCGCCACCAAGAGGATTGCACAGTCAACGTTGAGGTTCTCGCGTACTGCAAGGAAACGCTAACGAAGTGCGGCGTTTCATTGTCAGAGATGATCGGGCTCCCTTTCACCCGTGAAGAAGTGGAGTTCCGGCAGCCCCTCGATTTCGCCCCTGTCGATCCAGCCGAATTTGCAACTTCAGGTGAGCCTTCCGGTGCTGATGTTTCCGAAAGTGTTCGCCCGGCGCAAGCCGGTGCAAAGGCGGCTGCGGTGGCACAGAGGGACGAGGCGACGAGCAGGCCGGTACCACTCGACTCCTACGGGAGGAACGTGACTGGGGGCCACTACGATTGCTGGGTTTATAGCATCCATGACGGCGTGAAGTATGTTGACTATGGTGAGGGCCCTCCAAAAAGCGACTGAAGGGGGGGGGGGGGGGGGGGGGGGAGGCGGGGGAGGGGGGGAGGGTTGGTGATGGTGGGCGGGGGGGTAGGTGGCGGAGGGGGGGGGGATGGGTTGGGGAGGCGGGGGGGGGGGGGGGAGGGGGGGGGAGCGGGGGGGGCGGCGGGGGGGGGGGGGGGGGGGGGGGGGTGGTGTGTGTTGTTAGTGTGTATAGCTATATATTCAGAGAATCAGCAATGAGTACCACAGCTCCCTGACGTGCATCTCGAAGATCCTCCGTGGTCGAGGGACAGAAGGATGTGGGTACGTGATGGATGAGGACGGCTACATGGACCTTGAAGATTTGGGACTCGCGCTTCGCAAGGAGCTGCGACATCCCATTCCATGGAATATTCAGAGCATCATGGACATCTTCAAGCTCGACAAAAAGCAGAGGTTCATTGCGCTTGGTTGCCCGGAAGCCGGTGCGGAGACGTCCCCTGTTCTCATTGGATTTTCAAGATCAAGGCCTCCCAAGGCCATGAGGACTGGCTCCAAATTGACGACTCCGGCATCGCGAAGGAGTGGTACGTGAACCCGGGGACGGACCTCGGGCGCTGGTCTGGCTGGAACGTCTGCAGCAACCCTCCTACGGTGCTCTATCATCGCACCGACAAGCGGAACTTCGCCAACATTATGCGAAACGGACTGCTTCCAGGAGGAGGTGACCAGCGCGAGACAGGCAGACCTCACGTTTTCTTCGCTGACATTCCGAGCACGAACGAAAATTACATCTCAGGTGTACGCGCTAACAAGCCCTTGGAAATACAGATCGACCTCAGGATGGCCATTCGCGCAGGGCTTTGCTTTTTCAAGACAGAGAGCGATGGCGTCCTCACGCGCGACAAGGTGCCCAACTACACGATTATTTCTGTATTGGACGCTACAAATGGCGATGTATGGTACACTCGCTCCGAGCAATCGGATGCAGGTGCACCAGCTGAGGCGACTGAGGATGAACCCCAGGGGATGAAGCGCGACCAAGCCGTGGTTGATGATCGGTCCACAGCACTGGAGCGCATTGCTACAACCCGCACCAATGTGGCGTCTCCTCGCGCCCCGCAAGGGAAGCGAAGAGACAGAAGACTTTCAATCCAATGGAGAACGTTGAGCTGAATGTCGCCACGTGCCCGGTTTGCAACAACAGTGTGTTCGAGGGGCAGGTCCACTGCACATCATGTGGGCAGTTGTCACCCCTCAATCCTCGCCTGTTGAAAGAGCAGCAAAAGAATTACCTTGTGCAGCGTTCCAATTTGCTGAAGAAGATGGGCCTCAGCACCCATGTCACAGCCCAGGTTTTGGCATCCGTGGGAACTTTTGACCTCCGCGAGGAGGATCGGAGTAGCATCCTTCGTGGCCTGAACTCCCCGGACAGTGCTGTCATTCAGGAGGCCCGGAAGAAGCGCAAGTCCGCCCTGAAGAACGGCTACCACTCTCTACTTGATCGCTATGAACTCGACCTTCAATACAGGGTTCGTATGCTTGAAGCGGGCCGTCGGGATGCGGATATACTCCGCATGGAGTTGTGTGCAAACCTCGTCTTGGCTGCTCCAAAGCAGTCGCAAGCCCAGCGCACTCTTGGAGTTGGCCTTGGATCAACTTCTGAGTCGCGAATCGCAAGGCTCGCGTACATAAAGACGGAGGTGGAGTTTTTGCCCAGCGAATTGCAGGATGCACTCAGTTCCCGTTGGATCATCATGTTTCAGGGAATGCCATACAGTCCACGGGCTTTTGTGAATGTTGTCTCCGAGCAGGACAAGCCTCGCAGCATTGGATGTTGGAATGGCATCATCCATCTGCGAAGCAATTCCCTCGAGGACCTCCGCCGCGAAATGGACTGGATATTCAGCCAGAACGAGCGCTACGCTCACAACTCGATCGAATTTTCGAGGAACGAGAGCAGCAAGCACCTCGCTCACAACGCAGCTCGCTACGCCGACACACGTGCTCCCGCCGCCCGCGAGGGTGAGCATTGGAGCCAAGGCAGCTGGCAGAACTGGTCCGGATGGAGCGGATGGGACAACAGCAGCGGAAATTATTCTACGTGGCAGTGGCGCTAAAAGCGCAACTGTCATGGTTTGCATGTGTCAATGGTTCCCCTGACCTTCTCCCTCTGTTGTGTTACTGTTTGGCTGCTTTGTGAAAGGCCCCTTTAACACGCAGAGGGGGGTGAAGAATTTGATCGGTCAGTTTGGGGTTTTACATCCATTGCATCCGCAGTGTGGCTGTTCAAGCGTAAAATGTGCGAGCAGCGCACTTGGACGGTTTGTTGTTTCCTTTTGGGCCCCAAACCGGTAACCCTTGAATCTATAATTTGACAGTCTGCCCGGATGCAGGAGTATGAATGTTTCATGAACTTCTACAAGGACACCGGCGTGCCGCACGGCAGAGAAAGATGGTGAAATCCATTCAAATCGGGTGTCGACCACCAGTAAGCCGACCACTTTGGTAGGCGGAAAATGGGAGGAGGGCCCAACTCAATGTTCGCATAGGGGTGTCTCGAAAATGGGACTCTGACCCTCTTTTGGTCGCTGAAAGGAAAGGGAAGCCAAAAGGAAACCACCAAGTTTTAGGCCCCCCTATTTTGAGCAACATAGGTTTGTAGGAAAACTGTTCTTGACAAGTTTTGGAAACACCAACATTGTCGCTGGGTCTCCAAGAAGAAGTCTTTCACTGGTTTGTTTCTCATTGGGCGGGTTTCCCTTTCACACGACTGTGCCAAAAAAGTCAACAGGTTGTTTCTTCCTTTTTTCCCTTTTAAACCACCCAAAAAAGGGGGTCCATCCCTCAAAAGGGCCACACCCAGGTGCCACCCGTTATGCTGCTTCGATTCCGGTCAAAAAGTTGCGGGCTGCGTTGCGGGCCCTGGAAAATCGGCCTGCCACACCATGTTCTTCCATTCGCTGAAGACTTTGCTCTATTTTCACCTGTTGATTTTAACAGAAATCTATCACTGCTGGACACATGTTTCGAGTTTCCCAGGGGACTTAAGCAAATGGAGGGTTTTGGTTCTCCTAAACCTTCACCGCTCTCCGCGCGTCGAACGGCGAATTGGTTGTTGGTGGCAGCTCGCCGCCTTTCGGTGGACGTTTTGGGGGGGACGTTTAGGGCGCCGGTTCTGGTTGATATTACTGGGTTCCTTAGAGTGAATATTTCGAGGAGAGAATGAGACCTATAAACCATTTGCTATGGTAAACGGTTCATTCCCAAAACACCCGACTCGGTCTTGCCCTAGCCATCGCACCAGCAAGTTGTGAGGGGGGCTCAAGATTTCTTTCGAGCTGTTTCCCAGCACATCCAGTTTCCATAGGCCCATGGAGGGAGAAAAAAGACGGACAGTTTCCCTCCAATTTCCGGATTTGGCCTTCGAGGGGAGCAAGGTTTTGTGACTCTGGGGCTCGTTTGGGACGCCTTTTTTGGGTTGACTCTCAACTGAAGGGACAAAGTTTTTGAAAGCCCCGCTGGAAGTCTGGAAAGCAGCGTAAGGTCAGTTGTTGCCATGTTTCACCAGAGGATACCCCATGTTCTGCGGAAAGTCCGCATTGCCAGGAGGGCCCCTGTACATGGAGCAAGAAAGCGTGGGTTCCGATCGATGTGGGCCATGACGCCCTCGCAAAACCTTGCCAGACTTACTTGATGGTGTTGGCTTGCCCTATTGGATTTCCTCCACGTCGCCTTTATTTCAGCAAACAGCTTGCGCTTTGACGAGGGGTTTTGGTTTGCCACCGATCTCCCCTTGGATTCCTTGCGGGATTCCTTAGTTGTGTGTGTGTGTGTGTTGGCAGACTATCACCAAGATTTTCAATGGTTGGCTTGATTGTCGGCGTGTCTTGTGTTTTGCATGTTGTTCCGATTGGCGAAGAAGGTGTTGGGCTCAACCACATTCACTCCCAGGCTATATATATATATATATAAATGGGTCTTGGGTAAAGCAACCCCTCTATTTCCTTGGAGTGGATTTACGCTGCTCCGGAGTTTTTCTGGGTATACGGTCCGGGTTTCGGGTTGACTTCGGTGGGTTCTGGCCGCGGATGGGACAGATCCGCCCGGCGGGTGGTTTCCCTCTGCCAGGTTTGGCTGGTACATCGTGTGCGACGAGGCCTCGGAGAGGGAGCTTTCGTTCCCAGCCTCTGAAAGTTGTGGGGAGTGTTCCTATGTCCATGGGTAATAAATAAATATTATATATATACATATATATATATAGAAAATGGCTCCGCTTGGATTCTTATAGAAAAGAGCACAGCTATCTTAACTAGTGGATCCTGGGCACTTCTGCCATAGGTAACCCTTTGCCATTTCTTGGTGCGGTAAAGTAGGGAATAAAGAATGGAATGAGCCTGGGAATCCTGAAGAAAGGAAACCACAAAGGATGGTTTATAGGATGCATTCCCTCATTCCCTGCTGAGCACCAGCAAGACTTGGTTTTTAATGGGTGGCAAGCCCTTGGCAACCTTAAAGGTAGATGGATCCACTGGGTATTTAATTTGAGCAGCCTCAGGTTGATTTGATTTGCCCCTATTGATTGGGGCCAGGGTCTGGTCTTGGTGCTTCCCAGCCGTCCGGCTCCTTAGCTTCTTAGCTCGTTTTAGTTGGTTTAGTGGTTCGGTTTCCGTATGTAACCCAGACATTTTAACTTTTAGCAGGGGATCTGAGGACGGCCCAGTTGTTGGGACAAATTGCGCACGCTTTCTGGGCTCCTGGCAGAAACATATTACACCTGATCGGCTTTGGACCAGGCAATTTCTGTGGATTCCCTTTTTTCAACTCGAGGGACATTTTCTGCCGGGGAGCAAGTGACCGGTATGGAAATGGAAATCGGTATAGCAGGGGTTCAAAAGCTAGGTGCGACCGTCACAGTCATATCACCATAGAGGGTTAATTTGTAGTAATGGGTCGGGCCCTTGCACGGTAGGTAACTATCCATTTTTAGATGGCCTCACTCTTTGAGTTGGACTTTGGGGAGGACTATGTTGGTAAAAAGCTTAGACTTTTCCTGTCCAACTCAGGAAGTGAGTCAAAGGAGAATGGCGGTGGCAATTCATCACTTCCAGTTCTCTGGGAATTTTGTTCAGCAACCAAGTGGGCTTCAGATGGCTCCAGGGCTTGTTGGAACACATTTGCAGAGCTTGCAAAATCAGTCCTGGCAGCATGGCCTCTACTTGTTGGGAACATCTTTGAAGTTCTCAATCTGGACGGGTGTCCTGGTTTGGACGTTGAACATCTCAAGGGAAGCTCCTCCAAAAAGCGGAGAAAAAAAAAATAAGGATGCCACTGAGGCTGAGACTTTCCTTGGACACCCCCTTTTCGGCTGGTTGAAGGACCAGTCCGATCGTCTGATGGTTTTCTCCCCCGAAAAAACAAAGGCTGGATGGGTGACAAGAGGACGCTCGAAAGGCCCATAGATTGATTCGGGTCTCCAAGATGTACTCATCTAGGTCCCCCAGTAGTGCCCCTTTACCCGTTTTTGGGAGGGTTCCCCTACTGAAATGGACTGCAGAAAAAAGGGTACCCTTATTCTAACCTCTCTACTGGAGGACCGAGTCATTTGGCATTCTCCGCTTTTGAGCAGTTTTGAAGGGTCCTCAGAAGACAGGACCCCATGCTTGAAGGGGCCTTGGTCTGGATCCAGGGCGCAGCAAGAGGCATTGTCCTCCAGAGGTGTGGATGTCGCCCACAAGATGAGAGATCCTCCGCAGTTAGGGGGGCTTCAAATTCCTCAAGTCTCGGTGTTCCCTAAGAGCCAAACGCACCCGCACTTTGCCTTGCTTTTTTGTCCCTGGGGCACCTGCTTTTCTTTTTCTCCGGGGCTCGCCTTTTTGGGTGTTTTTTCTTGTTTACTGGAAACCAAAGGACAAAGAAAACTGCAGCGATCCACCAAGCGTACTCGAACTCTGAGATTCTGTTTCCTCCGCAGGTGTGCAATCACGGCAAGCCAAATGGTCAATCCGCACTCAAGGGGCCCCTATGATTAGGCTCAAATGTGGCATCAAGTTGTATCAGCACCATCCTTCTTCAGTTGACGGCCACCGTACAACAAAAACCTGAGCTCAGGAGTCGCAGCTTGTTATTGTAGCCGCTGTACGGCAGAGAGTCCTGCCTGCGGAAGCGAGGGTCACGGGCGAAGGAAGTTGAGCAGTCCCGCCACACGACATATGGCCAGCTTCTTCCAAATCATAGTCGGAGGCATTCCACCAGAGCTCCGACGTGACCCGCCCAAGTCTCCGGGACTTGGAAAGCACCCCCCACTCCGAACACCAGATGTTCCATGGTACTTGTCTCTCCTTTCTTGGTTGACATCATTTCCGGTTTGGCCTCAGGATTTGACGCATGGTGTTCGGGCTCGGTTCCATTTCTGAAGGTAGTGTAACTAAGGGAATACTAAAGAAACCACATTTCAAGACACAAATGAATCTTGGTGGTTCCCAGCCATCCCCTTAGCTTTTTAGTGTTTAGTTGGGGATTTCCATTTAACCCACTACAAGTTCTACTAACAGGGATCTGAGGGCAGCCCAGGAACCAATTGCTGATAATGGTATGCGGGAACCCGACTTACAAAAGGCACTAGGTACCTCTTTGAGTTTTGAAAAGGGTGTCATTTGGTACCTGGTAATTTTTGCTGGAGGATGTTCCATGGGGTTCAAGAATGCCCTCATTTCCTCTCTCCAGTTCTTTTTGGAGTGACTGCTGTGGTAAACCAACAACCTGTTCCCCCCCACGCAATCGCTAAAACCTGCAGTCCATATCCTGGTGGTATAAGTTTGACCCATACCCATGTCTTTCTTTTTGCTTTCTCCCCCCCCCCCCGCCCCACTCAACCCATGTCTTTCTTTGAGTCAAAACTCTGCAGGTGGCCGTAGAGCATGCCATCGGGGAGCTGATGTTCGGCTGCAATTTGCTCTCCTTCTCGGTGACTGATGAGGAGGCGGGGTGGTAGCGCCGAGCGCGCCGAGCGCGCGCCGAGCGCAGGCGCGACGTTTTCGAGGGACTGGTGCTCCCTGTAGGTAAATCGGTCCAGTTCAACTGTAGGTAATTACCCATGCCTCACTAGTATTACATCGTTTGACTACGGAATCTTTGCCAGGTAACCAAGAGAACCACCCTTCAAAAGTCTGAAAAAGTTTGGGGTGGGGCTCAAAATTAAACAGGGGGGTTACGCAGGTTTTGGTCCATGTTTCCACTTACCAGGGTTCCAATTTGGTACCGGTTTTTTGAGCCACAGCCTAATATAGAGTTCCCTGGGATCCGCTGGTCCAGTTGCCACAGCAACGAATGGGAGTCCACCTGCTACATCCTTTTCTTTTAAAGGTGGGCTACAGATGAAACAGAATCTGCTTGTCTTGGCGTACCCGGGAGTTGGTCACAGAGTAAGTTGCAGTAGTCAGGGAACAAGCAGAAGAGCAAACTCAGGGGGCAAAAAGTGCCGTGCTAAAAAGCAAACCACGGATTCCCGGTAGTCTTCCCCAAAGGAAAGGAGCAACTGACGGAACTCAGGGGTGCGGGTCCTGCGAGAACATCGGGGATCGGGATACGGTTTGACGCTTCAAGGGAACGAAAGGGAAACCAGGCAGAACTGGGATGGCTTTTGACCTGATGTTTCATGCAGGCTCACTAACCATGGACCAGAATCAAAGATCTTGTTTTGGTTTGGGGCACGACAGGATGGTTAAATTTCAGGGGACCTTCCAAAGTTGCAGTGGTTTTTGAGGGCCTTATCAGTTTCCAATAGTGTACTCTCATCAGGACTGGACTTGGCTTAAGCACCCGCAAAAATATATTCTAATCATTTTGGCTCTTATATGCCTTAAATTGTTGAACAATAAAATCCTGGAACGCCTGTACGTTGCAACAGGGTTCCTTGTATTTCCCTTTCGGGATGCCTTTTGGCTGCCAGTGTTGATCGAGATTGTTTCTTTGGGGCGATGTTTAAAGCGGGCATGTAAGGAGCCCTATTCAAGTTGTTCAGCCGCTGAAGTTGGTAAGGGGAAGCAACTTTGAAAGGCAACAGGGGAACTACTGGCAATTGGGAGGTTTCCTGGAAACTTGGGAGGAACCCTGAAAAATGGGGGGGAGACTTTTTTTGAGGGGACCTGTTGTTTGTGGATTTAACACGTCATTTTGGCAGGGGGGGGGGTCCCCTGAAAAAGACACACCAAATGGTGTGCCCTCAAGATGAATCAAACGAACAGTTGCTTTCACTCACGGGCCCTGAACCTCAGGTTCCTGTTGCTTGAGCTAGCCACACTCACCGGTTAAAGGGGCTCCCTTGTCATCGAAAGAAGCTGAAATCCCTTGGTTTGGCTTGCATGTTGAACGTGCTAAAGGAACGCAGTCGCAAGTTGCACTCCGGAAGCAAATGAGGGACATGTTCCTCCCACCAGGTGGACTTGTTGGGGGCATTGCACTTCTGCAATTCAACATGAAACCCAAACGACCCGCTTTTGGAGGAAACCTCCTTTTTGGGTGCCAAGTTCATTTTGCAGAGAGGTGTAGTCTTTTTGGGTTGCAACATAGCTGTGAGTTTGTGTCTGCGGTACCCCTCTTGGAGAAGACCCAAACGGGGCAAGCGCTTCAGTGGGGTCATATAGGGACAACATATAGAGTTTGACGACATATGGGTGTGTGAGTTTTAGAGGAAATCCCCTGTTTGGTTGGTTTTAAAGGGACGCCAGAAGGAAATCCATTTTGAGGGTCCCCTGAAAAAAGACACCCAAGGAAGATCAGAATCTGACTTGACATAATATTTTGTGTGTAACCCAGAATCTCTGGGTGGAGCCCTAAGAAACTTCTACGGGGCCAAATGCCCACAAGGGTTTGTTGACATTTCCTGTAGGTGTCGACATTGGGCTTGATTCCTGGGCAACCAGAAAGAGTTCCATGAGGTCCCTTTTAGCGACCACATTATTTAGCGCCAAGCGAGGGGGCGCTGTCCGTTCGAAAGCTGAACCATCCTGATCCAGGCAGATCCGTTTTGCCCAAGAGGCCTTCGCCGCCCGGGAAAACCAGTTCGGGAGCTTGTTGAAACAACCGCCCGTAGCCAAAATTGGTACAAACCACCATGCTCCAACTGGGGCCTATGTTCCTGTTTGGGGCCCTTCCTGATTTGGGCCTCGAGCTCAATCATGAACCCTTTGGGGGACGTTCCTTTTTGGGGGATTTTTTTTCACTTCACTTTGTGAGCTGCTTAAAGGGTTCCTTTGGGTGCTTTCAGGCAGGGTTCCCCCCATTTCCCTTTCTCCAAAGAGGGGAGAAACGGCCAGCAGCAAAGTGCAACCTTCGGGGCAGAGCCCCTGTCAGGGTCCTGTTGCTTCGCTTTTAAGGGGTTTGGCTGGCTGGCTGGCTGGCTGGCTGGCTGGCTGGCTGGCTGGCTGGCTGGCTGGCTGGCTGGCTGGCTGGCTGGCTGGCTGGTCGGTCGGTCGGTCGGTCGGTCGGTCGGTTGGTTGGTGGGTCGGTTGGTCGGTTGGTTGGTTCGGTTGGTTGGTTGGTTGGTTGGTTCGGTTGGTTGGGTGGGTTGGTTGGGTGGGTTGGTTGGTTGGTTAATTGGCTTGTTGGTTGATTGGTTGGTTGGTTGGTTGGCTGGTTAATTTGTTAATTGATTAATTGGTAAATTGGTTGGTTGGTTAATTGGTTGGTTGGGTGGGTGGGTTGGTTGGGTGGGTGGGTGGGTGGGTGGGTTGGGTGGGTGGGTTTGTTGGTTGGTTGGTTGGTTGGTTGGTTGGTTGGTTGGTTGGTTGGTTGGTTGGTTGGTTGGTTGGTTGGTTGGTTGGTTGGTTGGTTGGCGGTTGGTTGGTTGGTTGGTTGGTTGGTTGGTTGGTTGGTTGGTTGGTTGGTTGGTTGGTTGGTTGGTTGGTTGGTTGGTTGGTTGGTTGGTTGGTTGGTTGGTTGGTTGGTTGGTTGGCGGGTTGGTTGGTTGGTTGGTTGGTTGGTTGGTTGGCTGGCTGGCTGGCTGGCTGGCTGGCTGGCTGGCGGGTTGGCTGGCTGGCTGGTTGGCTGGCTGGCTGGCTGGCGGGTTGGCTGGCTGGCTGGTTGGTTGGTTGGCTGGCTGGTTGGTTGGTTGGCTGGCTGGCTGGCTGGTTGCCCATCTATGGTTTGGTCTGGTTCGGGTTGGTTTGGCATGGGTGGGCTGGTTGGGTGTACGGGTTATTGGTTGGCTGGTTATTGGGCGGGTTTGGTTATTATTGGTTCCGGTTGGTTCGGTTGGTTGGGTGGGTTGGTTGGGTGGGTTGGTTGGTTGGTTGGTTGGTTGGTTGGTTGGTTGGTTGGTTGGTTCGGTTGGTTCGGTTGGTTCGGTTGGTTCGGTTGGTTGGGTGGGTTGGTTGGGTGGGTTGGTTGGTTGGTTGGTTGGTTGGTTGGTTGGTTGGTTGGTTGGTTGGTTGGTTCGGTTGGTTCGGTTGGTTGGGTGGGTTGGTTGGGTGGGTTGGTTCGGTCGGTTGGTTGGTTGGTTGGTTCGGTTGGTTGGTTGGTTCGGTTAGTTGGTTGGTTGGGCTGGTTGGCTGGCTGGTTGGTTGGTTCGGTTGGTTGGTTGGTTCGGTTGGTTGGTTGGGTGGGTGGGTTGGTTGGTTGGTTGGTTGGTTGGTTGGTTGGTTGGTTGGTTGGTTGGTTCGGTTGGTTCGGTTGGTTCGGTTGGTTCGGTTGGTTCGGTTGGTTCGGTTGGTTCGGTTGGTTCGGTTGGTTGGTTGGTTGGTTGGTTGGTTGGTTGGTTGGTTGGGCTGGTTGGCTGGCTGGTTGGTTGGTTCGGTTGGTTCGGTTGGTTCGGTTGGTTCGGTTGGTTCGGTTGGTTCGGTTGGTTCGGTTGGTTCGGTTGGTTCGGTTGGTTCGGTTGGTTCGGTCGGTTGGTTCGGTTGGTTCGGTTGGTTGGTTCGGTTGGTTGGGCTGGTTGGAAATTTTGGTTGCCTCCTTGCTTTCAGAATCTGGTTCCTTTCATACTCCCGAACCCCGGTTTCGCCACTCGGCTTCCTTTCGGCGCGTCCCCGAGCCACGAGCCACGACCCGCCCGTGCCGCCCAGGGTTGTGGGATCAAAAGGCTGATCCCCCACTTCTGTGATACCTTTGGGAATCTTCCCTTTTTACCTGGATGAGTCTTTGGGAGGCCCATTTGGTTGTATCACAGAGACGTGGGTTCCATTTCCCACGAGCCTTCCGCCCCTTCCGCCTTCCGCCGCTGCTGTTCGGCGCCAGGTGGAGCGCGCCAAGCGCGAGCTGAAGGCCACCCTGGTGAGCGGCTCGGGCTCCACCCAGGAGAGCTGCAACCAGGCGCCGCGGGCCGTTGGAACCTTTCAGGTTGGAACGTTGGAACCCTTTGGGGGTCAGTTGTTTGGGTTTTTCTGGCTGGTTCGATAGGCAGGGAAGGAGCTGGAATGACCCCTAGAATCCATCCCACTGGCGGTTTTCCTGTGAGGGGACCAATTCCAAGGTTCATTCCCAAAACTCGGGAGATTATTCCCTGAGCACAGGCAAGAAGTGACACGCGAATAACCTCCGCGACATGAAGCTCCTTGGGCGAAGCCCAGACCCGATCCAAGCCAGTTCGGGGGAATCTGAACCGAGTCATAGCTTCAAAACCAACTTGAATTCAATTGCTCTACCCAGAGCATTTCACACCCAGAGCTATGGCTGGGATGGGTCTTACCCTCTGGGTTTTGCTTGTGACTCATATATGTTCTTTTTCAACCAACACCCTACCCTATGGTTTTTGATGGTCACTCATGTTTTTGTTGTCCCACCCAACAGAAGCCGAGCCAAGACACGCCACCCGGATGCCCTGACCTTCCCGGCCCGTCGATTCGATTGGACGTTCCTTGCAGGTGGGCAAGGAGGTTTTGGTCTACGGCCGTGGCCTCCCTGCGGCCGAGATGATGCCCGGCGCCCCAAAGTCCGCGGGTGGAAGGGAGCTTGGGGACGGGAAGCTTGGTGCGGGGAATGAGAAATGGAAGCCCAGGAGTTGGTCCCCTTCAAGGAATCCGGTTGGATGGTTGACAAGGGTCCATTCCATTTTTCAATCCCTGCCGATTTCGCAGCAGCAAGTGGCAGGCAGTGCCTGCCGAAGGTGCCGTGAGGTCTCTGTGAAAAACATGGCGGCTGATTGGACCCCCAACCAATTTGAAGTGTGTGTGTGTGTTTTTAGATTTTCAGGACCGAAACTCTGACATGGCCATGGGGCATAACCTATGGCTCCAATTTGGGGCGGATGAACATCCATTTGCCACCTATTTTGATGTTGACCAGGGGTACCGGGTTTTGACCCACAGCCACATCCCCGGATCCAGTGTCCCACAGGAAACCAGCCATGAATCTTAGGTGTTTGAAGGATGGTTCGCTTGGTTCCCTACTCTACAGAATCACTGGGTTGGGTGGACACCAGAATTACGTGGGCGATTCTACCAACTGGCTTTTTGAGGGATTTTCCAAGCTTTTAAATCCAGCTGTACCCTTCCCCTTCTCTTCAGACAATGGCCCGACCAGAGAAAGTTCAGAAAGGAACGATAGGCTTCCATTTGCTTAAACATATGTTTGTTTTTTGCAGCTGTTGGTTTTAACTCGGAATCTATCACTACTGGACTTTTTTCCGGGGCCCTCAGAAAATGGAAGTAGGAAAACAGAATCTGATTTAATCTGAAAAGCTAACTGGCAAACTTTTTTTTTGCTGGCGACAAAGGTAGGGTGAGGAGAGGGGCACCAGCCAGGCTGCGGATTGAGGCCGTCGATGCAGAGGAGGTGCATCGCTGTTTCTGGGATGAAAGGCGGCGAGACATGGGGCCCTATTTTCCTATTGTTTCAGGTACAGGATGGTTCCAACCATTTATAGGCGCGACCGCCTTTCTACTTCTTTAAATTGGTTTGGCCCGTAGGTCATCAGGAGTCTGAAACCATCAATTGGGTGGGTTCCCCTATTTTGAAGACAACCTCTTTTTGGGCCCAGACTTCCAGTGTTGCCTCGTTTTCATTCGAGCGGGTTTCAATTTGGCCTCTTTTTCTAGAAATAACTTCCCTATTCTTCTCAGGAATCTGTCTGTTACCCAGAGTTGTTCAGTGGCCCTCGATATCCCAGTTTGTTTGGCGGGTTCGGGACCCGGGACCCCCGAAAACTTGACGCAACCAAGCAAGCGGTTCCAATCACTGCGTCTCAATCCAAAAAGCTGCAACGAAGGATCTTGGGGAGGGGGAGGAGATCCTGACGAGAGAACATTGAGAGGCCACGCATCCGACGTCTCCTCTCGCAACCGAACGCTGCCCCGCGGAAAGGGGCTCGATCCCATGCACTGGCAGAACATCGGGACCAAAATGGCACGACTCGTCCGCTCTTAAGCTTCTCCTTTGGACAAAAAATATTGAAGGAACGAATGGGACCCACCGTTTTGAGAGTCGGCTTTGGCACATAGCCATCTGTGTGTTTGGAGAGAGTCCAGGGGTCAAAGTAGCTCAATAAAAGCATGGATCCTTTAGGTTTTTACTCTGACCCTCCAAGCCAACAACGCTGAAGTGGGTGTGGCTTGAAGTTCTGTTACGCAGGTTTTGGTCTTTGTCTCCATCCAAGGGGCCAAAAAGTGGGTACCAGTTTTTTGAGCCGCAGGCAAGTTGGGAGGGACCCGGAGACCCACCCGATGGACCTTTGGACATCCCTACACCGAAGGTCCTACGGAAACGGGACTCGAAACGGGCACTCATAGCCACGCCATGAAGCAAAATGCAGCGAGCGAGCCCTTTACGTGCCTGATTCCTGATCTCCAGTTTGTGCATGGCAAATTGCCCATGATATATACGTATTAACATATATATATATATATATATCATATGGGATATACATAAATGACTCTATATATATACATGTAGATATACATATTGATATTTATGTAGTCATGGATGACCTTTGCGGACAAAATATCTCAGGATGTCATCGGAACACCGAGCTTCCCTTCAGAAAGCTGCCGCGAGGTGAAGCGAGTTTCCTACAAGTACCTCAACGATCAAGAGGCACGGAGCGCCAGTGTGTTCTTTCCGTCAACTCACTTCCTGATTTCCGTTTCGGGCTTTAATATCACTTGTTTTGGGTGTGGACCATATTAGTGGCAAACAAAGAGTTCAGACCTTTTTCTGGCCAATCCACACAGGAAGTGAGTCAATGAGTTGGAGCCTACAACGGAACCATACACCGGGGTCTCAATATTTCCATTTTTGGTAGATTTGGCTGTGGCTCACAAATCCGGTACCCAAAATGGAACCCTGGTAAGTGGAAACTCGGACCAAAACCTGCGGTTTGCCCCCCCGTTTAATTTTGAGCCACACCCATTTCAACGTCTACCCCCCCCCCCCCCTCTGTTTCCTGCCTCCAGACCACTGGGGTATATATTTCCCTAGGGGCGCTTATGTTTGGCTCTCGAATCCGCGCGCCTTTACCCCGGGGGGGCAAAACGGCTGTGGTTGTCAAAACCGTTTTGGGATCCCATTTTGGTTGGTAGGTGAATTCACCACCCATTTTAGAACCGATTTTAGTGGTTGGATTGGGATGTTCACTGGGGGTACGGGATTTTGACCCATGGCCACTCTTGAAAGGAACGGGCCGGAATCCACCGGATGTAGGTGGACAAGCCAAGCCAATGGTAAGACAAAAAGTCAAGGCCTCCTTCGAGGGGGGACGAAAAGCACATGTTGCACCCTTGGAGATTCAAAAACGAAAGCGGCACAAAGAAATTTCCCTTCGCCGAGATCTCCGTGACGGGCCTGGGCCCGCTGCACGGCATCCCGGAGCTGTACATCATGCGCCAGGCCACGCAGCCTCTCGGCCTGAGCGAGCGGTTCAGCCGGGTCAGCCGAAGGTTTGGGGCAGTCTCGCGGTTCAGAAGTTCAACAGCTTCAGGGGCCAGTGTGTGTGTGTGTGTGTGTTTTTTTTTTTAATAGATAGGTGTGAGAACTTTGATGGGCCCCGGATCCTTTGGTGGACATCACCTAGGTTGGGATTTAGGTTCACCAACCGCTTTTGAGGTCCCATGAAAATTCGCGGCCGCAACTGCGCATGTTTTTGGGACTGTACCCTGGTTTAAGGAGAAAACCAGAAAAACATGTTGATCCCTTTAGTTTGACAGACACACGCGAACATCTATATGTGTCATGCCCTAAGCATTGTTGGATTCTGCCTTGGAGGAGTCCGGATCTCTCTGGGAAGGGTTTGGACCTCAACAAGTTGTCCTTTTTCACCAGAGGTTCGGTCAACATATTGGCGAAGTTGTGTGTGTGTGCCACTGTTTCTGGTTGGTTTGTAGGGCAACCAAGGAAAACCGCCCTAAGAAGCGTGGGCCCCATATTTTTGACACATACCCCAAATGTCGGGCTGAATTTGTGTCTTGGTTTTTGAGTCGGTACGATTTCTGGCGCAGGTTTCAATCCAAACAGAAGCGCATGCCATGTTCAAAGCGAAGATGTCGATCCCCGACTCGCTAAGGATGGTCCGGTACTAGAAGGTTTCAGCGGACGGCGAGACGGCAAGGAACTGCTTTCGGTTCTCCCCGGAAAAAGTTCGAAATTCGAGCTGGGGGCCGGGATTGGATCAAGCCCTTCTTTGACCATGTTTGTACGTGTGGATGGACAAATCGTTTGCGCCAGTTGGGATTGGTGGTTTATGAACCATTCATAGGGCGCAAAACCCGTCACGGGCACGCAGCGGCTTCCTTGTGTTTGGGCAGATCTGGAAGCTTTGCACAGCGAGCGAGATTCCTACGGTCTAGAGAGACGTGCCGAGCGGCTATGAAAACCCATTTCATGGGTTGGAAGTGAGCCGTTACGGAGTGGGGGGTATCCAATCTTTGGTGCGTTTTGCTTGGATGTTAGGACTTTAACTTTTTGCCAACTGATGGGTTTTCCATATTAAACCACTAAAAGTTAGTCACTTTTAGCAGGGCTTCGCAGAAAGCCGCCGAGCAGAGGGAGCCTTCCGGAGCTACAGGAGATCTGCAAGGACAGTCGTTTGCAGGGCTGGTTGTACATCTCTCCACAAAAGGGGTAAACCACCCATAAGTGGGTTGAAACCCCGGGAAGCCAGGGAACCGGTATGAACAAGAAATCTGCACTTCCACCCTTAGATAGGGAAAGAAAGGAATTTCTCTGCTGGGAAACCAGCCAAGGGGCTCACTCCAAACTGATTGGGCGAGTGGCTTCCATCAGGCGCTTGTCACATTCAAGCCCGCGAAAGAATCAGAAACACATCCCTTTGACGCAGTTGCCCAGTGGCGCCCTTTTCCTTTTTTTTTTTTCGGGAAGGGTTCCCCTTGAAATCTCAACCAACCCAGAAAGGAGGCCGATTCTTTTCTTTCCCATGGCTGGGCATCTGAGTTCATATACCGCGTCGAAAGTCCATGAAAATCGCATGTGAAGCAGGAACGACCGATGGCTCAAAGCCTTCCGGGGCAAGGGGCGATGGCCCAGCCCCGAAAAGGGCCATGTCGCGGGAACGGTGTCCAGTTTCGAGTTGAGTTTGCTTGAGGCTCGTGTGAGCAAAGGTCGAAATGCATTATGTGAGGGTTGATTAAAAGGTCCTTTACATGGGATGACCATTGGGGAAAACCTCTGAAAAAAAGGTATTTCCCACTAAATGGGAAAGGCTACGCTACCCCATGATCATTTGGGGGCCGGGAATCTTGATCAACGCCCACGTATTGTATACTGCATAATTTATGGCGAGCTGACCTGGGGGTAAAACGAGCTCCACCATGGTAAAGATCCTGTGCCTGGGTTTCCCTTATTTCAGGTTTTGGACATATTGCAAAATGTGCAGCTATCATTTGCTATACTGAAGACAGACAGAGTTCACAGGAATAATCCCAGAATCTTAGTGTCATTGGAGCAAACGATAAATATCATGTATGTATCAACACATATATATATATATATGTATATAGATATACATGTAATATACACAGAGGTTATACAACACGAAATGAACAAACCATATACATGTACATGGTTCATGTCGCCAAAACGTTTGCCATGGTCATTTTGGCTCACTCCAGAGGGGTTGCGCAGTTAAGAGTGCCACTTGCCAGTGCCCAGGCAAAAAACAGGTTGCCAGATTTCATCAGTCGATTGCAAATCCAAGTTGGCTGTGGTTCAAAAATAGGTACCCAAAATGGCTTGCCCTGGTAAATGGAACCCAAGACCAAAATCTGCGGTCCCCTGGTGGCTTAATTTTGACCCACATTGTCCAGTCAAATCTCGCGACAAGCATTGGACGAGCCAAGCGACAAAGGCAACAAAGGCAGCACTGGTGCTTCAGTTGATTTCCCTCATATTGTAAATAGGGAGCAGCAGAAGCGCCAAGTTCCATTGATTGGTTTGCCTGCTTTCTATTGAAGGAAACATATCATAGTGACAACTTAGCAACTCACGGCCCAAGCGATTTGGCCCCGGGGCCTCCTCGCATGGCGCTAGATCTTTCCGCGACGCGCTGCTTATGGCAGCAGCGCTTGCTCTCAGGGGGCAATGTCCCACGATGACTTGCTTCATAGGATTCATAGCTGAGAGTTTGATGGTACCACCTGCAGCCAATGAGGATACACCCTTTCTTCAATGCGCTGAACGGACAAAGAACACAGCTGATAGTTGGGAGTTCGGAAGGGGGCCGTTCCGGAGCTGGGGGTATCCAAGTTTTGCGTGTGACGAGATGGGGTAGGTTCTAGGGACCCTCTTGGAACTCCCTTGTCTCTGAAAAAGTATGGCCCAAAAAAGGGCCTTAGGGTAATGTTTTTCGGGGAAAGTGGGGGGGGTTCGGAAATGAGGGCCTCTTTTTCTTCTCCCATATTTCCATCACCATTCCGTGGCCAATTCGGCTTGGTTTCCTCTAGACAAGATGCTCATCTTTTTGAGGGGAAAATCTTGTTAAACTCAGCCTCTTCAGGCCCACTGTATTCCGCAAAATGTCTGCCTCATTTCCCCAAGTGTTTTTTTAATACCGCGGGAGGTACCAAATGACCCATGCGAACTTCCGCATACAAAAAGGGTACCCTCGCCGCATCGGGATGAGAGCCAGGGTCAAAATGTGGGGGTTCATAAATCTTCCTGTTTTCTAGGGGTACCTTGCATTTTCATTCTTTCCAGGCATCCTTCTTTCTAAAATACCACGCAAGACCCTGGGGAAACAGCTGGTTTTTGAAAAGAACGAAGGTTGAAAAGAATGGGGAATCAACCCCTAGATTGCTTTGCAAATGACCATGGGTAACTTGTCCCATCTAGTGGGAATTATAGTCATTGTGGCTTTCCCCAACGGTCATCCCATGTGAAGGACCTTTTGATCAACCCCTAGTACAGAAAGAATGGCAAGGGCGTGGAGTCGGGAGCTCTAAGTTTCTCGCCAAAAACAGTGGACTGACTATTGCTTGTCCATGTCCACTACGGCAACGGCCGCAACTAAGAACCGTGGCTCGTGTGGGAATAGTTGGTGACCTCCTGAAAAAATAGGCGGCAACTTCTGTTGGTTTCCGTAGAAGCCAACCTGAGAAGGGTACCCTCAACTTGGTACTTCCTGCTAGCGAGTAATAATCACCCAGCACATGGCTCCCCTGGTTGGGTATGCGAAGTGATTGTCACCTTCTGTAAGGACTCCTCAAAATGGTAGTGTCAAAAAAAGGGACCCCCAAAACGGCTTCCGGGTTTCCCTTTGCACTCCCAAAAAAGAGACCCCCCCAGAAAAAAAAGGGCACCATCCTGTCCAGCGTGGAACCCAGCGAAAAAAGTACTCTTAAAAGCTGAAGTCCAAAAAAAATCCTTCGGGTTCCATGGCTCACAGGGGAACCAACTCCAAAGGCGAGCCAGGCATGTGGGTTTGTAATTTGTAAGGGAAATTGCTTTGTTGGGTGGTTTTAAAGGGAAGCTAGCCAAGAGGAAAACACCACATATCTTGGCTTTGTTTCTTCTTTGCCCTTTGTAGAAGATTCATGTGAGGGCCGTCCTAAAACCCCAGTCTTCGGTTTTAATTGTCGCCGAACAGCGAGAAGTAAAAGTTGTCAAAAGCTGTGCGCGCGCAAGGAGCGCGCAAGTGCGGCCCAAGGGATGCGCAAGGTTACAGTTTTGAAGGGTTTCATGCGCTGATGTTGCCTAGCTTCATGAAAGGAGTGATATCGTTTTGCTGCACTTGCTTGTCGCGTGTAGGGCACAAGCTGGTTTGCAAAGGTTCCTGCAAGGGAGCGCGTGCATCTGCCTTTTAAACTTTTGTGAGTTGTCCAGGGCAAAGGGCTGAAACATACACGCACACACATCTGCAGTATGCCGACTGCAGCGTTTTCATCAGTCAGACGCCAATGAAGGCCAAAAACTCCTGCGGTGATGCTGCAACTGACACCACAAAATCCGCGCAAGCCGCGCGAGAAGCCCTAGCAAGACATCTAGCCATTTGCTGTCTCGGATGTGCTGTGAACGCGCAAGTCCGCGCAAGTGCCGCGCAAGTGCGGCCCAAGGACCCAATCCCGGGCAAAAGAATATAGAACAACCCCCATGTGTTTGTGGTTTAAAGGAAAGCCACGATTCTTTTTTGGGGGTCCCGGTCCCGACAGACAAGCCCATGTGGCATCCGGCCCAAGGCGCACCTGGCGCAGCTCTTGCTGGGCGCCGCTAGTGGCGATGCCAGGGCCGGGGGCCTCACTGGTTTCTCCTGGCCAAGCCGAAAAAAGCCACTCAAAGAAACCCAGTTGGTTCGTGGCTCCCTTTTTCTCTTCCTTGTTTGGGAAGGCTGTCCATTTAAAGTCAACCAACTAAAAATGGATGCCCTTTTTTCCCCCTGGCCACTGGGCATCTGAGGAAACACCCCACATGGCCATGACAATGAGCGAAAGCATCCTGGTTTCATGCTTGGAATGCCCAGAAATTTGCCGGACATAATTCTCCAGCCGAACCTGTCCCATATCATGGGGTCTCCCAAATAAGCTCTGGGGTGGTTGGGGGCAGCTGTCAGGGCAGGTTCCCTAGGGTTCCGGCAAATTTCGTGGCAGGCGCAGTATTTTCTGCGTCTGGGTGTGTGTTTGCGTGGCAGGGGCAGCATTTGGTTGCTGTCTAAAGGGACTGGATGTCTTCGAGCGCGCGGCTCGGGGGCTCAATCTGTGTGACAGGCGCAGCACTTTGGAGATGGCTTGCAAATTTCGTGGCAGGCGCAGTATTTTCTGCATCTGGGTGTGTGTTTGCGTGGCAGGGGCAGCATTTGGTAGGTGTCTAAAGGGACTGGATGTTGTCGAGCGCGCGGCTCGGGGGCTCAATCTGCGTGACAGGCGCAGCACTTTGGAGATGGCTTGCAAATTTCGTGGCAGGCGCTGTATTTTCTGCATCTAGGTGTGTGTTTGCGTGGCAGGGGCAACATATGGCTGCTGTCTAGAGAGGCTGGATGTTGTGTCGCGCGCGGCTCGGGGGCCCAATCTGCGTGACAGGCGCAGCACTTTGCAGACGGAGCATAGATGTCATGGCAGGCGCGATATTTTCT